CCTCTCTTAGCTGCTGCTACCTAATAGCAGTCCAGATAAATGTTGTTGAAGAGATGGGGTTTCAGAAATGAATGTATTGATTCTTGTGACAAATCATTACATACATACAGCTTTGATTATGTATGTATGTTAATGCAGTTGTATGCCAGGCCATATCTATGCTAGACTGCATTCTGTGATAAATTTCCTAAAATAACCTTCTGTCTAGCAAACAGCCATGTCTTCTAAAGAGCAGCAGTCATTGCGAAGGGAATTCCCCATCATGCAGGCTACAGAAGCTTAAGAGCCAAGTCCTGTCAATTATATACATTATGCCAAGAAAGGCTGTTCAATTTCAGGGCTTTGAACTCTCTAAGTCAACTGGTTGTCCAACCTGTTTAAACAAATTAAAAAAGGAGGTGACTGCAGAAGTTGTAGCTTAGGTCTCTCTTGCAGCGCTGCCAAACGGCTACTGAACCCAACGACCAGATGAAAATGTAACGAAAGAGATTTGCCCTGTTCTGTAGAATTAGGTATCTTTTATACAGCATTAGAGTAGACTCAGTAAACACAATGTCTGTTTTTACCCTAGCTGCTATTGCTGTGTGTTGGGGTAAGGATTTGAGGAGTATTCTGTTTTAACATTGTTAGCTGTCCAGAAATATTAATTTGAGATGATAATTTATATAGATTGAAATAATAAGCAAAAAACAGCATACGCGCAGAAACAAAACAGTCTATTCGTAGTCCACACAGACCAAACCAAACTGATCCAATCTCCCAGCCCTACAGTCTGAGGGAACATCCAGATCCTCAATGCTTTGTGAAAAGCCAGAAGGGTTGGGGGCATCCTGATCCTTGGCACTACGACAGAAGGCACAATTCCTAGGTCACACAAGATGACAATTCCTAATGGAAGGAACCTGGAGCATGCTAACTGCCAATTTTGCTGCAAGAAGTAGAACTGATTTAGGACACATAGGCTTGCAAGTAAACTGGTACCATACTAGGTAGGGCTTATGGGTGCCAATCAGCACTTTGAATTGTACCCTGAAGCCCACTGAGAGCCAGCACAGTTCACAGAAACAGTGATGTCCTATGGGCATATAACAAAGTACCCAAGACTGCCTGTGCACTAGGCCGGGATGATTGCATTGGCAAACTTCCAGTTAAAATATTTTGATAGAATGAGTCTTTTCTCTCCTAAGTCCTAAACAAATACATTTAATAATAATAAATAAAAAGTTTTTTCTTGACTATTACAGAATTGGAAAGTTAGCGATTACCATAGTACATGCAGTTGAATTACAGTTTCTCTGAGCCTTTGACTTCAATTTATTTCTTATCAGTATAGATCTACAGTTTTAAGGAATTGCTAAGAAAAAAGCTTAGACGGGTTGTGGTAAAAAAAAATTTTTTGGAACACCACTATTCTTATTGACAAATAAAAATCTATTCAGGAAACAGTGGGAATTTTCCACTTGAAATTGTCAGTTGTCATTTTTCACTTATATTACATGCTTGTCATGTTTTTAAAACGTGTTACATGTCTTTTTCAGGGAACACAATGTACATGAATATTTTCTGTGGTTTTCAGATATTTTGGATGTAATAAAATTACAGTATTAGGCTATGGGAAGCCATCTTATTAATCAAGAATTTTTTTTCATAATGGAAATGGCATTTGGAATTTTCATATTCTACTGACTTATTTATCAGAAGGCTGTTGTTAGAACAAAATAAAGTATCATATAATGAAATTATTCTTTTAGCAGTAAACAATGCTTTTCTCAGTTTTAAGATCTTATGATTCTTCTCCTAAAATATAAACTAATTAGGGTTCAGGGTTATCAACTTGCCAGTTTACTGTCACGGGTTTACTCTCTTTTTTGCCAAGAAGAAAAGCTGTCTTGGAAAAGAAACCACATTAGTTTTCTTTATGATATCCTTATAGAAAATGGGGGGTTGGGGGAGAATTACTTGCTTCCTTTTTAACATAGTTGTACACAAAATAATAAGGTAGATAGATTGTTAGAACTATCAGATTTGGGCTAGAAAAATCTGGATGACCACTAAATGTCAGAAAAGGTAGATACAGAATTCCAACCTTGCTCCTGTATACAGATTGGCTGGATTTCTGCAAATCAGTTCTGGTAGCCTTAACTACCAGCCTTAACCATAATTCTAGCCTTATATCCAAGTCAAGGCAAATATTTTATTTCCCCATTCCCAGGTTCTTGCAGCATGTTCCAGGATTAGAGGAAAAATAAACCTATGGCTACAATTGTGGCCAGAAAGTTCAGTTAAAGGCTCCTATATTTCAGGGATGATATCTTGAAATACTAAATTCTCTTCTTTAAAGAAGATAAACAGAATTGCAATAGTTAACTTGAGGTTAACTCAAATTTAGACAAAATAAATGTTCGTTTCTATCTCATCCTACTTCTGGAGATTTCAGATACATGTGGCAGTCCTGGGAAATAGATCAGATGGAATTTAATTTGTCTCTGTAAGCTTCATAGCTGATTGGGGATTTTGGTATTGATTTTCAAATCCAAAACCAATAGCATGTAAACTGCCACATAAAGTTGGGTATTGAACAAAAGGAAGAATATGCTGAAGTAATATTCTTGTATGCTATTAAATATCCCAATGCTCTACATGGGCTTTTCTGAAATTGCTGCCCAGTGGATTGGCATTTTTATTAAATTGCTAGCCCACAGTGGCTAGGTAAAGTTAGAAGTTGCTGCGATGAATTATTGTTTGTTTATATAATATATCTTTATCATGTTATTGTTGCTGACCTGCTTTTGGAATATCCTTTTGGAGCTTTTTACAAGTATCTCTGATTAATCAATACAATAGGCCAGTGATAGCTAACCTTTTTGGTGCTGATTGCCCAAAGTGTGTGCAACATGAAAATCCAATACAAGTGCCCCCCGCGCATGCGCCCTGCCCCCATCCATGCACATGCTTCCCCCATCTATGCACGTGTCCCCCATGTATGCACGCGTCCCCCATTTTTTGCTTCCAGGTGGGTGCAGGATGCCTTCCAGGCCCAAAACGGGGCATGCATGCGTGGTGGAGCTGGACTGGGGCAACAGTTGGCGTGCCCGCAGAGAGGGCTCTGCGTGCGACCTGTGGCACATATGCCATAGGTTCACCATCATGGCCATAGGCCCTGTGATTTTGGTTTTACTGATTAGATTTATTGAAATGACTTGTTCATATTATTATGAAAAAACAAAAAGTTGTGAGTTGATGTTAATGCCTTATTCTACTGCAACAGAGAGAGTCGAAAGTCAATGTTTCTTTTTCTTTTTTTTCTTATCCTCCCTCACTTCTCTTCCCCCTCTTCCTCCCCACCATTTTCCTATTTACTTTCATATTTTGTATCTCATTTTATTTTATAACCCAATAAAAATGTTAAACACAAATACCATAGGCCTAAATTGATTTTTATTTCCTGGTTTTCTCTGGAAAAAAAGTTACATGTTGTTTTGAATTTAAATTTAAAGATAAGTAGCATATTTGATTGAAGATCAATAATTTAATATTTTGAGTTCTTCAGGAACTCTTTGTGCATGACATCTATTCCTTCATTTTGTTTTATCTCTGTTTATTTCCTTTTTTTAATTCCTTCCAGTAGCAGGCTAGTTTTGCATTTGTTTTTATTCCTAATGATAAGTAACAAGTTGTTCAGCTTCTTTATAGTCTTTCTAGTATGTTTATATACTTTCACTCCTTGGCCTAATTAGCAAAGCTGTTTACATGACTATTTAGTGGTAATATATTTTTTAAAAATATTTTGCTGCATCTTTATCTTGTATTAATTTTGCCAGTGTTTGTATTACTTTTAATTCTCTCATTTTGGGCAATAGTTCTTTTTCCTTCTGACTGCTTTGACCTTGCATATTAATCATACTAGGATCTTCTTGGACTTAACAAATCTGCATCATATATTCTAGTTGACATTTTATTAATGGCACTTTTATATAATAAGTATCCATATATAGATACATCCTCTCATTTTTCATTAGCCATATATTTTTTTAAAAAGGGGTTTTAGGGTTTTTTGAGGTGGAGAAGTCAAATAAATTGTTGTATGATTTCACTTATATTCTTGGCAATTTTGCAGTAACCTTTATGCTAAATGTCATAATTATTCACAATCAGTTTAATACTACGTCTATCTCTTTCACCGTATAATTACTTTACAATTTATAGGTAATATAGACAGGGAAGTCATAGAGAAAGAATATAGCTTCTAGGACTATATGTATGCATCAATTACATCTGTTACAAATAATTATCATAATCATTTCCTATTATAAGTTTTTCACCAGATGCCATATAGTACTATATACTCATTATAGTTTTAATTTATACTGATTTGATTTATCTGAAATGTTTATATTTCATCCTCAAGAAATGTTTTATTCTAAACAATTGTCAGTTTAGTATCCAAAGTTATTTTAAAAGCTATTGTCATTTTGCTGAGCAAATTCACTGAAAACATGTATGGATTAGTTGAAATAAAATACACTCAAGCTTAGCTCCTAGTAACTATCCAAATAATCATGTAGCACAAAATTAATTTACAATTGCTTTCTTTTGTGGTATTTTCAATTTTCTATTATCCTAAAGTGAAAGAGCTATTTGTCACCCAGGAAACACCATTTTCTACTGTTCTAGGTGGGAGACAGTTAAAGAGTCAGAACTCAGTATTTTTATTACAAAATTTTGTCTTGGCCTCACCTCAGTATAAATACAGAGCTAGGTACCGTATATTAAGTATTTAATATACACATCAATGAAATTTGTATCTTCTTTGTTTCCTCCACCATCCCCATTGAACCCAGAACAAATGCTTGCTTTTCATTTTGAGAATTGGGTAATTCAATCTAGGCTTGTTTTGATGGAAGGATAAGGATTTGTGGATAATATGTTATTTGAGAATTATAGTTACTTTGTCAAAGAATGTGGAATTGCAGACTGTAAAAATTGTCATTTTCTTTCAGTCAATAGCTTCAGCTGACATGGATTCAAATCAATTAGAAGCTTTTCTGACTGCACAAACAAAGAAACCAGGGGGAATCACAACTGATCATGCTATAGTTATTGCAAAATTTTGGAAGAATCAGCGAGCAAAAATTCACGAGAGTCTGATAAATCAAAGCAAGTGGGAAAATAGCTTGAAAAACATAAGCTGGAGAGTAGATTTAAAAACACAGTCAAGACACATTGACCAGATGAACAGTCCTGTGGCAATAGTTGAAATGGAACTTGAGAAAAATGGACAGGTAAGAACATTTTATCTTATTTTAACAATGTGAATGTTACATGTTATTAAGTGTTTGCTTCCTAAAGATGGAGGAAAAGAAAAGGAATTCTGCAAATAACACTATAATGCAGGCTTCTTTAAGTTTAAATATCTCAAGCTTGAATCATTGGCATCCTTGGAGCAATGTTTTCCAAAATTTGAGTGTATAAACTTCAGGAAGCCAGTCAAGGTGTAGCTTGTCTCCAAAGCAGAGTAACTTATATTGTCCAGATGGAAGCTCCTGCATGATCTGAAGAGATATCTTAAAACTGCAACAACAAAGAGAAAAGTTATAGCCCTTTATTCATTGTTTGGTTTATATGTTACTGTTGATATGGTAAATCCAATCAAAGTGAACATTCTGATTCCTACAGAATGCCACATAGCACAATATTATTTTCCATAATTTATTAAAAGATGTTTTACTTCTCTTGCTACAGAATGCCGATCCCCCCAAAAAAGGAAATTCTTCTTGTTAACTTGCAGAAAATACACATTTAAAGCTTTACTGAACTATGAGCAGAAACCCATGATCTCATATCATATGAACTTCTATTTTTAGTTTGCATAAAGCATTTGTAAATATGTGCACTAATTGAGCAGTAGCTGCAGTTAACTTAGTAGAGGACATTCAGTGCTAAGAGTTAACAAGGCACTACTCTTTGATTTATAAAATGTTTATTAAGTTTCATTATAAAATAAAAATACAGAAAAAACAAAAGTTAGAAAAATAAGAGAAAGAAAAAGTGCAGAGAAAGAAAAAAAGTTATGACATCCATAACTTTTTGGTGTAGTAAAATACAAAAAAAAATTCAATCTCAGCCTTTTGGTTTACATTTCATAACATTTCAAGCCATTTCTATAATAACAAAATCATTCTAATTATAATAAAATCATTCTAATACCAAGGTACAGTTTCTTGTGTGTCTCCTTGTATCTGCAGGTTGTTGCAAGCATATGTGTCATATCCATATTCTGTGCTGCAATAAATATATTTGTTGGGGTTAACATTTTTAAAAGTCTTTTTCCAAGAACAAAATAAGTTGACAATGACTTATTCCCAGTCATTCATCTAACATTCGAAATTGTATACTTGCCAAATTTATTTATTTAGCCACCCGTTTTAAAATAACTCTGTGCACCTTCAACCAATAAAACTATATAAAACAGTATAAAACCAACAGCCATATAACTAAAAAGAGAAAATCCTGGCACCATGGCAACACTTCTTTAATACACTCACACATTCATCCCACCCTGATTTCACCCAGTGCCAATGCCTGGGGAAACTTCCAGATTTTAAGCATTCTTCAGAAGGTACAGGCCTGTTGGATCTCAGTAGGAAGGATATTCCATACGGCAGGGGCTTTGGTGAAAAGGACATGCTTCTGAAGACACACAAGATGGCAATATAATTTACACGGGAAGGGAGCTGGAGCATGCACACTTTATCTGCACTGTGGAACGGGCAGATGTCCTCAGGGAGAGATCATCCTCTAGATAACTTGGTGCATGCTATATTGGGCTTTAAATATGCAATTCAAGCAACAGGGAGGTAAGATGGGCTAACCTAGGGACATCTAACATGCCAGTACATTCTAGACCAGTTGTAACTTCTGGGTGGTCTTCACAAGCAGCCCCATTTAGAGTACATTATAATTATCCAAACAGGAAGCGATCAAGGTGTGAATGGCCATCAGTAAGTTCTCCAGAAAGGGGAGCAATTTATGCACATATCTGTGCCAAAGCCCCTCTAACCATGGCTAGTTCCTCCCATCAAGATTTTCGCAGCCTAGGGGGCTTCCAGTTGGCACCGCCGGCGTCGCGGACAGTCTTTTCGGACCGCCAGCCCTGCGATTCCGTTGGAGCCGTTCTGACAGCACTAATCAGCTGTCAGACGGCTTGAAAACCTCTCCTTCGGGAAAAGAAGAAGAGGAGAACCGGTGGGCGAGGGTAGAGCTCCCCGGGAGCCCCTGGAGCAATTCCAGGGGCTTGGAGGGTGAGAGCTCCCCGTTCAGCCCACTGAAGCTCCGGATCCGTGGCGACTCCGTTTTAAATGGAGCCAGACGCCGGCGACCGACTCTGCTCTCAACAAGGAGATTAAGTGATCCCAAAAGCAGACAGAATGGAAGCAGGAGAACAAGCCTTTGCAAGTATGTTGCTTAACTCCTGGGATACATTGTTTCTACTTGATTTTGCTGAGCTGGAGGAGGAAATGGCGTCTTCATTGTGGCTGGAAAAGTGAAAGTTAAGTGCTTGTTAATAGATTTGTGCTTAGAGACTGGACTTAAGCTGCTGGGATTTGAGAGCTGGGTGTAGAAAAGACTATCTTGCTTGATAAACTACAAATAAATCTGAGAAAGCTGCTCAAGAGATTTTATAGCTTTGAAAAGAAAAATTCTTTTAAAATAATATGGCTTCCAAGCAAGGAGTTCCTGAAAGTGGTGGAAGCTCTCTAATGGCATCAGAAATGACACAGAGAACTGACTCAGAGAGCCAGGAGGATTTTTTTAGAGACCTTACAGAATTTATAAAGGAAGCCATGAACAACCAAACTGCAATTATTAATAACTTTACAGCAATCATGGAACGAAAATTTATAGAACTGGTGGAGGATATAAAAGCAAATGAGGATGTTTTTGAAGGAAAGCACAATGACAATTTAGGAGACATTTTGACTAAAACAGAGAAGCTGGATTTGGCTGATTCTCAAAAATCTTCAAACTTTCTTCCAGCTCTTTTGGAATTAACTGACAGAACTTTTCAAAAATATAATTTGGAGCAGAAAGAAGAAGAAACTGACCAGCCCTACGAGGGAGGAAGATTTGGCAGAGGCTTTCACACAATTAATTGAAATGCTACAACTGGACTTTTTTTTGCACTCATCGAGTTAACTCTTCATTCTATGAACTGACTGATTATATAAGCAAGAAGAGTCGATATGGAGGCTCCAAATCAGAGGAAATGGTTCCAAGAAAGGGACAAGTTTTAAAGATACATCAACCCCCAGTTGAAATTCAAAACCTCCTCAAAATAAAAGTAAGAGGGAGGAAGAAAGATTGGAAAAAATACAGAAAGAAAGGAGAATGGAAGATTAATTTTCTTTGGTCTAATAATTGATGTATTAATGACTAAGTACAATGATTAAGTAAATGAATTAAGAACTCAATGATTAATTAAGGTTTAAGAAAAAATATTTGAATTTTGAGAATAAAAGTAGGAGGGAGAGTAAAATGATTAAGTAAATGAACTAAGAATATTTTACAGATATATTACGAGAATTTTAGGCTTTGAATGATCTATTAGTGTTTGTTAATGTTTTTAAAACTCTTAGGCTTAAAGGATTATATGTTATTTTGAGTTTAGGGAGGTTGATGAATAATCTGTAGAAGGGGAGTTAAGGGGTCTAGGGAGTTTTAAGTCTTGCATTAACTTAGCATATTTTAGCGTATGTTTGGTAAAATTTATACCCTGTTTTTCTTCTGGGAAGTCGGGGGAGGGGGGTGGGAAGGGGGGGTGGAAGGTTGGGTTTATAAATGTTTAAATAGACAAATGAAAATGTTATTTGTTTGATTATAAAAAAATAATAAAAACTTTTTCTCAAAAAAAAAAAAAGATTTTCGCAGCCTCCAGGCACTCAGCACCACAATCTTAGTTCTGCCCCTCAGCTCAGTGAATGAGCTGAGCCAGTGGTTTCATGTAGATCAGGGGTGTTAAACTGGCGGGCCAAATGCGTCATATGCAGGCCACACCCAGCTCCAGCTCCTTGAATGGAGAAAACGTTGTGAAACATCATGTGACAGCAACGTGATGCAGCGAGTTTGACACCCGGGATGTAGATGAAAGAAGAGGAGAGACCCAAACACTGAGGCACCCCACATTGCAAAGCTAGGGTTTGACGTCTCTGTTCCACCAACACTGACTGAAGCCAACTGCAGAAAAAGGAGAATCACTGTAAAACACTATCTCCTGCTCCTAGTCCCCAAAATTGGCTCAGAAGCTTTCTGAGGCTGATGTTACTGAAAGCTGCTGAGAGATCTAGGATAATTGCACCACCCCACCTGAGCTATCTAAAGGTCATTTTTGAAATAATAAATTGCTGTCAGATTTGTTGATCCAAGGGCAGCCCTATTGTTATGTAGCACTGAAATACATCAATGCCTAAGAGGACACCAAGTGGACCTTGCTGGCACAATCCAAGTTAAAAGTATTTCTGCTCAGCACTACCCCCTGGGCAGGCTCTTCTTCCCTGTCAAACTATACCCAATCTCTTTAACATCCAACCCTGCTCTCACACAGGTGATGGAGGGAACCTTACACAAGTCCTCCATTCTCATCTCTCACATAAGCACTACAGAAAGGCCCAGCCATACTCAGTCTCCTTCTCAACAACCAACCACGGTTCTTGCCAGTCAAGGTCTGTTACCAATAGTATGAGAGCAGCTAAGATATTTACCCAATCCAGTGATTCTGGAGATTTCACACCCATGCAAGCCCCAGGCATGTTTGTCTTAATGTCATCATCTTAATATTAATAAAGGAGAATATTTGTAACTCAGGATTGAAATGAGGAGTCCTTAGTACTCTCTGAGCTTGGGCGTTTTCTTATAGATGTTTAATTAACCAAACTTGGTAACATCATTAGAGCTAGCAACCAAGGTCAGAGAGCATTAAGGACCCCTCTAATTTTAACATCCCAGTGCTCTAATCGTAACATCCCAACTCACATGAGGCAGAGCAGAGATGTTTATTTCAACTTTTCCCTGATTCAGAATCATCTATCCCTATATTATGTGGTTTAGAATCTTAGTGATCCTTTCTATCAGTTACTATAGTTCAGTTACAACTTTTGAATAAATTGTGAGATGGGAAGTGGAAAAGGGGTACACTATAATTTCAACCCATTGTTCTCTATGCTTTCGTTCTGAGTGGATTTATGTAATACAGTGCTCTTGCAAACAACTAGCCTACCAAGCCTGT